TCCCTAATGAAACAGGAAGTTGTTGTTAACTCATTCACTGCCAGCCATTGGCAGTGAATGAGTTAAACCCATTGACTCATTCACTGCCATTGACGTCTATAGACGTCAATGGCAGTGAATGAGTTAAGAAGTTAAGAAAGCTTTAAAAAATCATAATTTAAAACCTCTGTCATGATGAAGCTTTTGTGATAATTGGTCCTAATGGTGGAGATGCTAAATTGGGTTTACAGCACCACCTACAGAATCTCAATGAGGCATCTACGAAACTGTTTCATCTGCATATATGAAATTTGATAGCCTGATGTAATAGCTCAAGAAAATATAACCCTTTTTGATCAATACTCTAAACTAGTGCAGTCAAAATTAACGCATTAACGCAGATTAAGCTGTCATCACGATTAACACGATAAAAAAATTTAATGCTATTAACGCATCTGGAGTGTAGAATACCTCAAAATCCCTGTAATTTTTCTGTCAACGCATTTCAGACAGTTTGCCCGCGTAGAGTTACCTTTGTACATGTGCAAATGGGCAGTTGATCTGGTAGTGACGGGCAGCTGAACCAATCAACTCAATATGGAAGATGATAAACACACACTATGGCCTTCTCGATGGGAAATTTGAGTATTAAAAAAATAGCCAGACGGAAGAGTCGACCATCATAAAGTATTATGCACATAGTGCTGGAAGGAATTATCTTTTCACCGAAGCACTTCCAGCTTAAAATATCCCATTGACGCGAAGCATACCTTAGCTGGGGATGGTGTTTTTTTTGCTCATGGAAAATGAAATGCAATTAATATAGATTAAAAATGAATGAGATTTAATTGTGATTAATCAAAATTAATCCACAGTAACCCTGTGATAAATCTGATTAAAAACTGTGATTGTTTGAGAGCACTAATATATATTATATATATTATATATATATAATATATATAATATATATTAGTGCTCTCAAACAATCACAGTTTTTAATCAGATTTATCACAGGGTTACTGTGGATTAATTTTGATTAATCACAATTAAATCTCATTCATTTTTAATCTATATTAATTGCATTTCATTTTCCATGAGCAAAAAAAACACCATCCCCAGCTAAGGTATGCTTCGCGTCAATGGGATATTTTAAGCTGGAAGTGCTTCGGTGAAAAGATAATTCCTTCCAGCACTATGTGCATAATACTTTATGATGGTCGACTCTTCCGTCTGGCTATTTTTTTAATACTCAAATTTCCCATCGAGAAGGCCATAGTGTGTGTTTATCATCTTCCATATTGAGTTGATTGGTTCAGCTGCCCGTCACTACCAGATCAACTGCCCATTTGCACATGTACAAAGGTAACTCTACGCGGGCAAACTGTCTGAAATGCGTTGACAGAAAAATTACAGGGATTTTGAGGTATTCTACACTCCAGATGCGTTAATAGCATTAAATTTTTTTATCGTGTTAATCGTGATGACAGCTTAATCTGCGTTAATGCGTTAATTTTGACTGCACTAGTTTAGAGTATTGATCAAAAAGGGTTATATTTTCTTGAGCTATTACATCAGGCTATCAAATTTCATATATGCAGATGAAACAGTTTCGTAGATGCCTCATTGAGATTCTGTAGGTGGTGCTGTAAACCCAATTTAGCATCTCCACCATTAGGACCAATTATCACAAAAGCTTCATCATGACAGAGGTTTTAAATTATGATTTTTTAAAGCTTTCTTAACTTCTTAACTCATTCACTGCCATTGACGTCTATAGACGTCAATGGCAGTGAATGAGTCAATGGGTTTAACTCATTCACTGCCAATGGCTGGCAGTGAATGAGTTAACAACAACTTCCTGTTTCATTAGGGAGTCATTATGCCACCAGAGCAATGAAAAGTTTTAACTTTCTTCATTAATTTATTTAGACCACTATTGGGGTGGTTGTGATCAACTTGTGACAACCTCCCCTAAATATTCCTAGCACTCTAACTATCGATCAGTATTGGCCAGTGTTGGGGAGTAACGGAATACATGCACCGCCGTTACGTATTTAAAATACAAAATATGAGTAATTGTATTCTGTTACAGTTACCGTTACTTTGTTGAAATAAATGGATTACACGGCGGTCTTTTCCTGTTTCATATATTAGGCTATGCTCTCTCTATTTTTGGTAATTCCACCCTGGTGGAAACCTACACAAAATGCGCATTAAGAGGCTCTAATGCCTGTGTCCCTATTTCGCGGCCCATGTTACCTCTACTTGCAGCCTGCATAGTGACGTGAAGAAATACTAAAAATACTACTAATAAACGGAGCACATGCAGTGTGACCTTTGCAATGTCAGTGCTTGGGCCTTGATGACACATAAGTATCCTGTTTATCTTGCTATCATGTCAAAATGTGAGGCTGCTTTGGGGCTTGATGTCTATTTCTTCTCTAGTTCTTGTGTTGACACTTTTAGAAGATGAACCAGGTAAGAAAATACACACTTTATGTATTTAAAAAAATGTGATAAGGACAGCTCACATTAAATCTGCCCACACAGAGACTTGAGCCAAAGGTCCATGAAGTGATGTCTGGAAATGAGCACTGAGTCATATCATTGTGGTAGTAAAGGTTTAGTTGTCCTGATGATGCCATTGAGAACCACCAACAGAGTCTAGAGCTGTTTGAAGACTTCAGCTCAGTTTGGTTTATTGACAAATACCTCATACATCATAAAGCTTTCACATGCTTCCCATGCCATGTTTCTGGAAAAAAAAGCCCTCACTCAAGACTTCATACTACATTTGATTATAGATACGTGAAAAGCTGATCTGGCATTAACCCTGTTTGAAAGTTTACTGAAAAAAATAAACATATATACAGATATAGATTACCTTTCCACAGCAGAGCATTGTCCTTTAAAATCAGCACCAATACTCTTTGACCAGTCACTCTTTAAGGACACACAGCTGGGTTCAGGTCCAGGTTGGTTCCTGTCAATAATGATGGAGCAGTGATGTGAGTGCTGAGCTGTGACATGGAGAAGAGTCATGGACAGTTAGAGATGGTCATCTCACCTCTGAGCTTTGGTCTGGCTCTCATGTTCCCCACACAGCGTGGTTTTAGAGGGAGGGACTCCCTCCTGTCTGTCCTCACACTGATCCATGCTGCTGAATTCACATCCACATCAGCTCACACACACTTTCTACCTTCACCTGCAGAGGAAACACAAATCATTCGTGTGCACATCAACTGAAATTCTCCCTCTGCATTGTATGTTGTCCAAACACTGAGATGAACCAGAAAACCAGCAGTGTCAACTGAATGCAGTCAGACAGCAGTGTGAGGCAGAGGAAGCTGCCATCAGCTGCTCTACTTCTACTATCAGTCCACTAGATGGCGCCATGAAGCACACGCGATGCTTTCACTGACACACAGATTCACTGTGACTGGAAGTTTTATTCAATTAATGTTCAGTTAAAAACAGAAACAAACAAACACATGACCTCAGATCTCTGCCTCAGATTCTCTTCTTAATAAGAAAAATGACTTTTCACTCACTAAAACTCAACTAACAAAAGAAAAGCAACCTGTTGTTTTAGTTTGTTTTGTGAACCTTTTATTTTTGTTTCCAGAGATATTTCATCAAAAGGAAACATACACCAAACATAGCTTGATGATGCACATTAACTATAGAGGGAAATAATCCTCATAGAGGTCACAAATTTGTATCATATGATCTACAAGCCTGAACTATTCAAAAATTCATACACAGATTTTTTTGTGATTTTAAGCACAAAAAACATGTCTCACAACACAACATGTCTCAGTCCATGCACACTGCAATTTCAACATTAGATACTGAAGGCTACATTAGAACTGGACTCAGTACTGCTAATACACACACACACAGACACATTTTTAAGGTTAACCTATCTGATATCTGATAATTTTGATAATATCTGATTATTTTCACTTTCAAAAAGATTCTCAAACCTATAATGTTAGCAAGGAAAACATTACAGGCTTCCGTTACCTTAACACAGAGCTTCACATGAAGAAAATCATCTGGGACACCAAGTTCAGGAATGTGAAGTGAAACTTTTAAAAGGAAGGAAATGCTTTCTGTAAAGTTCTAAATGAGCAACATCCGAAGCCCACTCACATGCCCTCTGTACTGGAATCAGAATCTGGAGATGAGGGGGATGACCCACTGACGTACTTTACCAACTATCCAGTTATTCAGCCAGTGCGATGGATTCACTCTTAAGGCTGTCCTAGTGTAAATGCCTGTACGATGCCTATAGGACATACCGGACACACTAGGAGAGCTGACAGGGTGGTAGAAGGGCATTTACCCAGCTGCAGGATTGGTACTTGGACCTTTGTGCAAAGAGGAACAGAAGTTACACTCTGAGATCCTTCAAAATGACCTCCAGCAGGCTGTTTATGTTTCTGACCAAACTGTTAAAAACAGAGTCCATGAGGGTAAAACGAGCACGAAAAATGTTATTACATAAGTGCCAATGAATATCTGCACCCATTACATTTTTCTTCACGCATGTGAGTCTTGACATAAATATAATGTCATACCACTGTCTCTCCACCTCATATCAGTCCATCATCCAGCTTCCTGCCAGGCTCATGCTGACTGATTTTCATCATTTATATACCTGTCAGACAATTTTCCCACTCAATTTCAATGGTTTCTGTGTGTTTGTGTGTTTGTACCAAAGAAACTTAACAGGCACAAAGGGTAGAGGCAGGGCTAGAATTAAACATGTCTTTATTAAAGTCAAAAACTAAAAATCAACCTTTAACTTTAAGTAATTACACAATGAAACACAATGTACACAGTGAAACACACAGCTCCAAACATAAACTACTTCATATGTCTGTGAAGGTTCTCAGTCATCCAGGTCATCGTAGTCAAAGGAGCTTGCAAAGAAAAGCGTCTGGACTTCTTTAAGTTACTTGAAGACGTTTCACCTCTCATCCGAGAAGCTTCTTCAGTTCTAAGGTCAAATGCAACAACAACAACAACAACAACATTGTCATCCCCTATGTAGCCGGTGTATCAGAAAAACTCAGGAGAGTTTTCTCCAAGCATGACATCCCAGTGCATTTCAGACCCAGCAACACGGTCAGACAAAAACTGGTTCACCCGAAAGACAAAACTCCAAAACACAGACTTAACAATGTGGTGTATGCTGTACAGTGCAGCGAGGAATACCCAGACCTCTACATTGGAGAGTCCAAACAGCCACTTCACAAGCGCATGGCACAACATAGAAGAGCCACCTCCACAGGACAAGACTCAGCAGTTCATCTGCATCTTAAGGATAAAGGACACTCTTTCGAGGATGCCAATGTTCACATTTTGGACAGAGAGGACAGATGGTTTGAAAGAGGAGTGAAAGAAGCCATCTATGTCCACTGTGAGCGACCATCTTTAAACAGAGGTGGTGGTTTACGACACCAACTCTCTGCCATCTATTATCCAGTTTTGAGATCCCTCCCCAGACGCCTTAACGCCCACTCACATCCTGGGCCATCTGACCTCAGGAATTCGCATGATAAGGTGGGGCCAGGTTTCACAATGAACTCACCCGAAACTCTGGCTGATTGGGACCCACACCCAGTTTCACACCTTGGCTCAGGCGATTAGAGGATTATCAGGGGGTCCTTTTGTCCCTCTGTGGGGGGATACTCCCACTAGGTTTAAATCTGGGACTCCCCACCATTTGACCTTAGAACTGAAGAAGCTTCTCGGATGAGAGGTGAAACGTCTTCAAGTAACTTAAAGAACTCCAGACGCTTTTCTTTATAAACTACTTCACTTCTTTACATATTTAGGTAGCTGATAACAATTTAATTTAACTCCCAGAAATGTTTAATATCTACTAATACAGACTTTAGCAGGATAATATTGTGACTTCAAGGAATCACTGTTAGTATCAGTATCAGTACAATTACAAAAAGTAGAATGAAAAACAGTTCTGTCATCTGCGTTCATTAAACTGACTTCATGTAATTCATCTTCCCACTAACAGAGTGCAAGAAATGATCATCAATAAAGAGTTAAATGAGATGTTAGTTACATCAGACCTTTTCACATTTATCTGATTAATATTAGAAGTTATTGTTTCTTTCATTAGATTATTTTTAAAAGCAGTAATTTTCATAGAATGGCAGAGATATGAGTGATCATGAGTGATGAATATCTTCAATTCAGTTAGAATTATTGAATGTCCGTTTATTTAGTCATGGAACATCCACACAGGCTGGTTGTCATTATTTGGGAGAAAATAAAAACAAAACCCAAAATGTCCTCTTATTGTGAAAATCTCCCTTAATTCCTGTCCTGCTTCAATAACAGTAATAATATGTGGAGAAGTTGAAAATGAATTTTTTTTAAAAAAAGAAATAGCAAACAACAACGACAACAACAACAACAATGAATGAGCTCAGGCTTGTCTAAGATGCAGAGGAGCTGGTTCTTGACTCAGATTCATAAAAAACGCTACATAATAATATTCACTGTGAAGGTTTGAGTGAAAAAAGGACAAAACAAAATCTGCTTCATGAAATAATCCCAGCTTCCATCTTAAAAGGACTAAAGACAAAGAAGTTGACAAAGAGTCATTGTTTAAAACTTAATTTATCCATGTGTCTGAAAACATGTTTCTGATTGATATACTACACCAATCAGATGAATATCCAGGTGTGCTAAACTTCACACAGACTGACTGAGGAACCAGGAGACCAGAGTGTAAATCCAGGATAAAGATGTTCAGTGAATGTGGTGTTGAAGGTGTGGAGGTGGATCAGAGTGTCAGAGGAGACTCTGTAGAAGGACAGTGTGCCAGCAGGACAATCCACATACACTGCTACAGTGTTAGAGACGGAGGAGGAGGAGATGGACATTTCTTTTTTACTGTGACATACAGAACGAGGAGCATCATCAGAGAAGAGCAGACTCCAGGACTGGTCATTAACTCCAAAAACATATTCAAAATCATCTTGTATCCTTCCAGCTTTGTAAATCACTGCTACATTAACGGTTCCTCTACACTTGACCTCCCAGTAACAACGACCAGTCAGATCATTTCTACAGAGCAGCTGATGATAGAAGTAAAATCTGTCTGGATGATCAGGATATGATTGAACCTCCTCCACATGTGCCACCTTCCTGTTGTTGTCAGACAGTTTGAGGTTTGTGTGTACTGTGTTTATGTCAATTGTGAGTTGACAGGAATCTGATGGAGAGAACAAACACAATCCAGCTGCAGTTATTGATCCATCATCTGTTCATTGATTGACACTTGGATAACTACTACCATCAGAGAAATGAATGACTGATGAAAATGTTTCAGTGTTTTTTGTGTTCATTAATCATATTAAAAAACACACTTACACTTCCTCAGACCTGGTCTCAACCATTGGACTCCAGCAGGCTCCACCCTGAAAGGAAGAGGGGGGTCAGACAAGCACAGTCTATGTGCATGCTGAACATGCATTTAGTGTGTGTATGAAGAATGTTCATACACACAAGGACATTACATTGTTCTAATATGCATACTAGTCCCTGTTAGCTCACAGATTATCCCTGTAGAGGATTTCTGGACTGACTTAGCAAGAAAACAGTAAGACTGGAAGGTTCATCCAGGAGAATGAACTTCTGTTGGACTCCCTGGCTGCAAAGGGCTCTTGCAATCTGGACAACCCTATGCTTCCATATCTTGGTGCCCCAGCAAACACAGATCGGGAGTCAATTATGGTTACCTCCATTCCCGAAGAGGATCAATTAACCAAGCTTGAACCCAGGCCAAAGTGAGCTGAAAACCATCAGCTATGTGTCTCACCAGTTAATGTCCTGGGTATTTCACCAATAGGTTGAGAAGCAAAGAGTCCACAAGATTTTGCCCATAGGAGGTGACAACTCTCCCCACTGGTGACTGATTTGGTCCCCCACATGTTGTCCATCGGAACGAGCTGCCCAATGGCTTGAGGTCTATTACAAATATCTCAAAACCCTTTTTAATCTCACAGGCTTACAATTAATACGTGCGTGTATCTAAACTACAGTTTAAAAGGTCATAGTTTTTTTTAATTCTATGGCAAGCACCTTAATTTAAAATTCATTTAAGTGTGAAATATAAATCAAACTCACATTGACATTTGTTGTTATTGCTAAACTTGACAAGTTTCAATGAATAGTCATAACACACACACGCATGAAACAGGAAATAAGTGAAGCACTTTCTGCTCTATTAGACATTCTTCCCCATACCTGAGAGCTTCCAGCCTCCACTGTGGATCATTCTGTAATGCTGAAAGCATCCTCGTGCCAGAGTCACCTGGATGATTGTAGCTTAGGTTCAGCTCTTTCAAACGGGAGGGATTGGAGCTCAGAGCTGAGGCCAGATAAGTACAGCCTTGCTCTGTGATCAGGCAGCCCGACAGACTATAGACACAAAACAACAATCTATCTGTGAATACTTCACTCAAGATTTGCTTTCATTGGTTTGCGTTTGTTTTTCACATACAATGTCATACATCCTTTCAATCTCCAATTCAATTTAGCTTGATTTAGAACATGACAATCCTCATAGATGACAACAGTTCTCAAGTAAGGCCTAACAATATTAGAAAGTTAACTCCAGCAACTGGATGAGCCCCAGAGAAAAGCTCTTGGTGATGGTGGGGAGAAGGAATTCTCTTTAACATGCCAGTGTCTCTGGGCCAGCTGTCCAATTTCAAACTACATACAGTGGGGCAAAAAAGTATTTAGTCAGCCACCGATTGTGCAAGTTCCCCCACTTAAAATGATGACAGAGGTCAGTAATTTGCACCAGAGGTACACTTCAACTGTGAGAGACAGAATGTGAAAAACAAATCCATGAATCCACATGGTAGGATTTGTAAAGAATTTATTCGTAAATCAGGGTGGAAAATAAGTATTTGGTCACCTCAAACAAGGAAAATCTCTGGCTCTCACAGACCTGTAACGTCTTCTGTAAGAAGCTTTTCTGTCCCCCACTCGTTACCTGTATGAATGGCACCTGTTTGAACTCATCATCTGTATAAAAGACACCTGTCCACAGCCTCAAACACAGTATCTCACAGTTGAAGTGTACCTCTGGTGCAAATTACTGACCTCTGTCATCATTTTAAGTGGGGGAACTTGCACAATCGGTGGCTGACTAAATACTTTTTTGCCCCACTGTACTTTGAAGCAGACCTTTAGAAATGCAGTTTCAAACAAGAGATATACAGGCATTGTACAAATAAAATCTATGTGGTACTTTGGACTGAAAGTAACTAACAATAATTTGTCCTAAAGTGGTATATTAAGGAACCTTCAGGGTTAGATACCTTTAACAAATCATATCTTAATATGCTTCTTTTGGCTGCTCTCTTAAGTGGTCACCACAGCAGATGAACCTACATATTTATTTTGGCAAAAATTTTTCATAATGGAGTTCTAAATGAGTTTGCAGTTTATCCACTGATAAAACTCAGCTTTTAAATTGTTCTGGGTGAAAAAGTTTAAAGCCTGACCTTAGAGTTTCTAGTTTACAGTGTGGATTTTTCACTCCAACAGACAGCAGCTTCACTCCTGAATCCTTCAGGTCATTGTTGCTCAGGTCCAGCTCTCTCACACTGTTGGACTGGGAGCTGAAAACTAAAGACAGAGCTTCACAGCTTTTCTCTGAGAGCTGACAGTCATTCAGTCTGAAAAAAAAAATCTAATTAAATCACCTTTAATGTTGAATCTGCACAATTAAATGGAAAAACAAAACAATAAATACTGAGGACAAATGTGAAACACTTCAAATTTGCTTAGCAAAAACGAATGAAAACCAATGCGGAACTGGTAGATTTAGTTGTACTAGGTTGACCAGTATCCAACTAGACAGGTCTGTAGTGCCATTTGTGACTTTCCAAATTTTAGTATGTATGATGTATGGAGGTAATCGTACACTGAAGTAGCTCAGACAAGCAACAATGCACCTATTCATTTAGTGATTCATTTAGGAGCTTTTGCAGAAGTGACGGTAGGAGCAATGTTTAGCAATCATTGTGTGAGCTGAATGAAAATGTTGTGCTGAAAGTTTGCTGTGTTTTAAATGTTTGGTAACTTAAAAATTAGTATAACAATCAGCATGTGCAGGGAGCACATGGGGCAGGACTGAAAGAAGATGAGTGGAGGAAGGATGATAGCAGACGACATGGCAAATAAGAGAGATAATGTGTAAGTAATTTTTCCAGGGAGAAAACAGCCTATACACTCAAAGGATATTCAACTGTAAATGCAGCATAAACAGGGAAGGAGGGGATGAATGGACTTGAGAAAAATATAGCATGCCGGTGAAATTTATAGTTCTCACAAAATAGAAAACCTGTCAGATAAGAAGAAATAGAGGAAAAAGTGAAACAGCGATGCTGGAGGCAGTCATGAATCATTGAGTGAGATGTTACTCAGATCTCACATGGAATTCAATTCAATTCAATTCAATTTTATTTATATAGCGCCAAATCACAACATAAGTCGCCTCAAGGCGCTTCATAGATACAGAGAAAAACCCAACA